CCATGACCTTGAGCCTGGGGGAGGGCAACTGTGGTGCATCTGTACTTGAAGCTTCCTTTAGCCTTTCCCCAAACAGATTTGACAAGAGCCTCATCTATCCAGGGGAGAAGACGTGCTCACCAACTTGGACGAGAAGAATGGGTGGAAATCACCCAGGACAGGAAGAGCTTAGAGGCTGAGGGAAGGGCCAGGTGAGAGAAGAGGAGGGGAGGGGAGGGGAGGGGAAGGAGGAGGAAGACAGAGAGAAGGAAGAAGAGGAAAAAGAAGGAGGAGGAGAAGAAAGAAGGAGATACAGAAGGAGAGAGAGAGAGAGAGAGAGAGAGAGAGAGAGAGAGAGGAGGACCGTGTCTCTTGGGAGTAACTAAGCAGGGTTCCGTGAATGTGGGGTGGAGCAATACTTAGCCATTTACTCCCAAGTGACTCAGATTTTCTGAAGCTCACTTTCTTTGTGACACAGGGGTGGTCCCCACCTGGCTCAGGTGCTTTTCAGATGATAAGAAAACACACACACACACACACACACACACATACACACACACATCGAGAGCTCTATAAATGTCCATTCTTCTTCTTCTTATTACTGGTATTGTTCAGAAAATAATGGCTGATTCATTAATATTGTACCCCTTTCCTGGAAAAATTTGGAAGAATTATTCAGGAGTTGGCAAATTTTTCTTCAAAGTGCCAGATCAGACACTTTTAAGCTTCTGAGCTTTCTGGCAACTTCTTGACTTTCTTGCATCCTGGGTGGAAGATGCCAGAGACATTGTATTTAAAAAAAAAAGAAAAAAAAAAAAAGAGCTCCGCTGTGTTCTAACAAGACTGCGATTACAGAAAGAGGTGTGAATCCCATCTGCCAACATCGAAGTTAGCCTCTTCATTTGAGAAGACATTTCAGGTCTTGGATTGTGGTTTTTAATCCACCTGTGCATGCATCTTGATGTAATTGTGAATTTGGATGTTTAGGACCCCGTCTTTGGGAGAAGGGCATAGGACTCCTCTTGTGGCTGCACTGTCATTTATTTACACAGTCCCTGCCCTGATGATAGCAATATTTCCAGTATTCCTCAAAAGTCAGGTGGAGGGAGGTATACCTGGAGTAAAGATCACCCTTTCAAGTGTACAGTGTATGAACTTTGGCAAACATGCACAAGGCTGTAATTCTAATCAAGATACAGAGCAGCTCCATCACCTCAGAGAGTGTCCTAGTGCATCATGGGAAGCCATCCCCCTGTGTCCTCCTGAGCACCTGGTACCCACAGATCTGCTTTCTGTCCCTGTGTTTGCGTTTTCAGGCGTATCACACAGGATGCAGCCTTTGGAACCTGGTTTCTTTCACTGTGCACAGTGGGTGTGAGACTCAGCTCAGGAACATGGTTGGTTCCTTTTTATTACCAAGGGATACTCTGTAGTGCAGACTCACCATAGTTTGTTTATTCACTCACCAGTCATAAGGCATTGGGTCATTTTCAGATTGGGGCAATTATGAATGAATCTGCTCTTATTAGTTCCTGGCTTCTGTGTGGACTTCAGTTTCTGCATCTTGGGTAAACTCCTGGGGTTGGGATTACAAGGGCTACATAAATGCACGTATGACTTAATAAGCAATCACCAAGCAATTTCCCAAAGTGACTCTGCAACTTGGTTTTCCCTCCAGCCATGTGGCGTGCTTGACAGCATTTAGCATTGCCAGTTTTTGTGTTAGCCTTACCAAGAGTTGTACGTAGTTTTGTTCTACAATACACAGTGCTAATCACTGTTTATGTACATATGTCCTTATACATGTATCCTTTGCTGTTAGGTGTGAGTATATCTGTAAGGATCTGCAAAGTACATTCTTAGAATCAGAACTGATGGGTGAAACGGTATGAAAGGCTGATTTGATATTGCCAAACAGCCTCTGGATGGTGGTGCCAATTTGCCCACCCACCCATGAGCTATGGCAGTGCCTATCTTAACCACATCCTTGCCGGCAGCGTTTTTACTCAATTCAAGTTTTGATTTAATTATTTTAAAGAGACTGGGGGGGGGGGTCTCTCTTTGTTGCCCAGGCTGGCCCTGAATACCTTTGCTCAATCGATTCTTCTCCTTTTTTCTCAGCCTTCCAAGTAGTGAGACTACAGGTGCCTGCCCCTCACCTAGAGCAAGTGCGTATTTTTGAAGAAAATTATACTCAAGATAATTGCAGAATAAGTGTGAACTTTGGGGGGGTTTTAGTGAGTACTTAAAGCTTCTGGAGCAGGACGTGCTGATTAATGATCATTGGCACTACTAATCAATCACAGTGTTCTTTGCCTCTGAGTTTGTCCTCAATGTATTCAGTAGGGCTTCTTTCTGAAGAGCTCAAACTTCACCAAAGGAATTTAGTTAATCCTCATAAATCTCCTGAGATGGTGACCAAGCACGTAAGCTGTGTGGTGATGCAGAGTAGAGAGACCTGACGGGAAGGAACTTTCTGAGGTTCCAGAACAGATCTGTGTCCCACAGGGTCAAAAATGAATCTGTTGGTGTGGGGACGGGGGCTCAGTGGTAGGGCGCTCGCCTAGCACCACATAAAAATAAATAAAGGTCCACTGACAATTTAAAAATATATTTAAAAAAAAATTAATCTATCTTAGGGTGAGAATTGACTCCTCTAGATTAGGATGAGCCTGCTACGGTTGGATGGTCTTTTTAACTTTTTTTTTTTTTAAACTGCTACCCACTTTGAGAAATACCCCAGGAGTCAGGGCCAATGGTGCACGCCTTTAATCCTGGTGATTTGGGAGGCTGAGGCAGAAGGATCCCAAGTTCAAGGCCAACCTCAGAATCTGTCTTAGAATAAAAAATAAAATGGGGGGCGGGGCTGTGGCTGTGGCTCAGTGGTAGCGCAAGTGCCTGGTATGTGTGAAGCATGGGGTTCGATTCTCAGCACCATGTATTAAAAAAATAAAGATTTATCATCAACTAAAAAATTAAAAAATAAATAAATAAAATGGGGTGTCGATGTAACTCTGGTAGAGTGCCCCTGGATTCAATATCAATACTACTACAACTAATAAATAAGTAAAAATTATTAAAAAAGAAAGACAACCTCAGGATCCAAATATATGTATAAAATATGTATTTTTTGAAACAAAAACTTCAAAGAATAATCTTCAATGTCTTCTACTTGTTACCTTGTTTCTTTGACAATGTGCTGAGCACAATGGGATCCAGAATATCTATTATTGGGCTGTCCGGCATTTTATTTATTTTTTATTGTTTTTTTTTTAGTTATACATGACAGTAGAATTCATTTTAATATAATTATACAAACATGAAAATATCTTAATCTAATTAGGACCCCATTCTTCTGGTTGTACATGGTGATGGGATTCACCTGGTGTATTCATATGTACATAGGAAAATTATGTCAGGTTTGTTCCACTGTCTTTCCTTTTCTGTTCTTCCCTTCCTTCCCATCATTGCTCTGCCACCTTTTATTTTTATTTTTATTTTTTTGGTGGGGCTGGGGATTGAACCCATAGCCTTGTGCATGTGAGGCAAGCACTCTACCAACTGAGCTAAACCCCAGCCCTCCCATCATTCCCCTTTATCTAATCAACTGAACATCTATTATTTCCCTCTCCCCCCTTATTGTGGGTTTGCTTCCACATATTAGCAAAAACATTTCACCTCTGGTTTGGGGGATTGTCTGATTCTACTTAGCATGATAGTCTCCAGATCTATCCATTTACTAGGAAATGTCTTAAAGTCATTCTTCTTTATGGCTGAATAATGCTGCATTGTGTACGTAGACCACATTTGCTTTATCTACTCATCTCTTGAAGGGCACTTAGGTTGGTTCCATAGCTTATCAATTGTAATTGAGGTGCCATAAACGTTGACATGGCTGTGTCACTGTAATATGTTGATTTTAAATCCTTTGGATATACACCAAGGAGTGGGATAGCTGGGTCAAAGGCTTGTTCCATTCCTAGTTTTTTTGAGGAACTCCATACTACTTTCCAGAGTGGTTGCACCAATTTGCAGTCCCATCAACTGTGTATGTGCCGTACCCTTTCCCGACATCCTCACCAACATTTATTATTACTTATATTCTTGATATTTCCGGCCAGCATTTTAAAGAGTACAGTTCTAGAACCCAGGTCAATCCACGTCACTTGTATAACCAAGGCTTTCCATCTCCCTGGTGATGCAATTGGAATCATGCAACCTCACACTCAGTTTGGGACACTTCATTCCCATGTTCCTTTTCTAGGAATCTGAGAGCCTATTCCTTCATCAGTTATTTCCACAAACAGCTCTTGGATTCCATATGTGCACTGCGCAGTATTAAATGCTAGTGGAAGACGGTCGGTCGGCTTCGAAGAGAAAGAGGCCTGGATTCAGATGTCACCGCCACCATCTGCCGGGGATCTTACAGGGAAATCACGGAGCTAAGGTATGGGAAGGACTTGGCCGAATGTCAGACTCCTAGCCGGTGCTTAACACAGTGGTTCTCAACGTGTGATTTCCCAGACCAGCAGCATCGGCGTCACCTGGGAACTTGATAGAAAGGCAAAGCCCCAGTCCGCGCCTCAGTTTCACTGAGAAGCTCCGAGGCTGGGACCCGGACGTCTCTCTTAACCAGTCTTCTAAATGGTACCGAGGCCTGCTCACTTTGAGAGCCACCGGCTGAACGGTGGTAACCATTAGCAGTTAGTACGCAAAGCGGCAGAGATGAGCAGCGGGCGGACGACGAGCGGCTCCGCAGGCTGCAGTCAAGCACCAAGGGGCCAGCAGCACCCACCGGTAAACGCTTGAACTGTCTCTGTCCCGGCTCCTCCCACCTCCCTCCTCCCGGAGCAGGACCCGCCTAGTGCGCTCGCTGATTGGTGGAGTCTCTCGTGGACTTTCGCCACTTACCCAATCCCGGAGAGCATAAACAGAGAAGGGCGGGACTGGGCTGTACGCTTATTGGCTGTAGACCACGCCGGGGGCGGGAGGGCGGAACTGCGCATGCGCGCTTTCGCGGCGCGGCCCCGGCGGCCGTTGAAAATGGCGACTGTCGCCGAGCTGAAGACTGGTGAGTACCAGCAGGGCGCCTTGCTGGGTGGTAAGCATCGCGACTTCCACCGGTGAAGAGCACGGGCCGGAAGGAACACAGGCTGGGCCTTTGCGGGGCTCGTTCTGCGGTATCAGGGTCTGCGGGAGCGCCCGGCAGGGGTGGCGGCCGCCGCTCGCGGGCTCTGGGAGGGACGCGGAGGTCCAGCGGCGTCGAGCTGGAGCCAGAGCCCAGAAGCCGCGGGCCCCTGTGCTTGCTCCCGGCCTGCACCCTGGGCCTCTGGCGCGTCTTTCTGGACCCCGCCGGGGCTGGGGAGAGGAAGGCCCGGGCGGGCTTTGCACCCGAGCTGCCCCGGGATGCAGCGTCGTGACCACTGGGCAGTCATCATTGCTGCACGCACAGCCGTCGTTGGTAGGAGCTCGGTCCTGAACGGTTGGCTCGGTTTGCTCAGGAGTCCCGGCAGCAGCCTGTGCAGGAGGTCCTCCTGTCCACCAGGAGAAACCGGGGTCAGAGTTTCCTGGTGTGGCCATTCGGAAAAGTTCCCCGAAGTACTTCTGTAGTAGTTCTGTGCATGTCATTAAGAACATTTTATGCCGTTAACTTCGAAGCAGACGTTCCGACAAGTGTTAGTGATTGTACTTGTCAGCGCCTGCGCTGGGTATGAAGCACTCCCCACGGCCCGGGTGACATCTGATCCATGCCCTGTAACACCTGTACCCATGGCCTGGACTGGGAAACTGAGCTGTTAAGAGGGGAAGTGCCCGAAGTCATTTACCGAGGAAGAGACAGTGTGGGAACCCAGATTAGACGCACCACGATGCCAGGTCTTCATCACCGGGCAATAAACCTGCTAATGAGTCCAACCAGTTCTGGTTTTTCAGAAAACACAGGGCCTGATAACCAGTCGTTGGTAGAGAGGTGGAGAGTAGGAAGCTGCATGCCTTTGGGAATATGATTCCCACATCCGCGATGTCAATGTATATTGGGGACACTGTGCTGGTGAACAGTCATAAAAGAGGCATGCAACTGTCACATCAGAACAAAATGCACTGGATCTGTGGGCTCCCTCCTTGGAGAAATACACATCACACCTAATGTTGCGTGCAGTTTCAGAGAATTTAGGTATTCCATGGGGGATCAGCCAGGTCAACAACCTCTTTCTGATGGAGTTTTTATGGTGCAGTGTTCTAGGCATAACAATGAGGAGAAGAGAAAATGATATGGAACCCAGAAGGCGATTTACTCTTTGGGGACTAGGAGTGTCCTACAGTGACTTGAAGAGGGGCCCATTTTCCCTGCTTTCCCCAATTCTGAATGTGCTTTGTGTCCACAAGAAAGTCCATGAAATCTTGTTTGCCAAATATCTTAAATTTTATGGACGTTTTATCTTTTTTGGGAGGAAGGGGTGTCTTGTTCTTTTTCTGTGGTTCTTTGTTTTTTTTTTTTTTTTTTGCATACCTCGTGTCTTGCCTGTATAGAATTCAGGCCACCTCAGGAACAAGCACCTTCATTGTTGCTTTCTTTTGTTTTTGGGGGGTGCTAGGGACTGAACTCAGGGGTACTTGCCCACAGAGCCACATCCCCAGCCCTAGTTTGAATTTTATTTAGAGACAGAGTCTCACTGAGTTGCTTGGTGCCTTGCTTTTGCTTAGGCTGGCTTTGAATTTACGATTGATCTACAGGAGTGGGCCATCACTGCGGGCCCTTTTATCTTTTTTAAGCACTCATAACTGTCATTAGAAAAAAACAAAACAAAAAAGCCCCCAAAACCGTTTCATTCAGACTGGGCCATTTCCTAAGGGTATCAAAGGCTTTTATACAAAAAACATGATACATTCCTTTCTTTATGGCGGCTGGTTTTCTTTAATCACCTTTCTGAACTGGAGTCTGTTGGAGAAGCCCAGAATCCATTTACAGTGACAAACACTCTTGGACATAGGAGAGATGGGGGAGGTAGGCTAAGTCCTGGTAAGCTAACTATACTTCTAATCCCCCCATATTTTCCCGTTTGTAGTCTCGGAGTATGTCTCAGACTACAGCCCCTGACCGCAAAGATGCTATAGGGATAAAATTGAATTCCTTCAACTATATTCAGAGTAAATCATTATAACTTGGAAACTTTGTTTTTGTTTTTGTTTGTTTTTTTTTTATAAGCATGGTTTGTGATAGTCAATGTCATTGACCACTTTGTTACTTTGTTTAGCTCAAGGGCTGCATTTGTACTATTTACCTTTTCAACATTTTTCTTGAGAACATACCCAACAGTGACAAAATTTATAACTGAAGCATTAATATTTTATATTTAACAGTTTTAAAGGACACTTTGGAAAAAAGGGGGGTACTAGGGCATTTAAAAGCAAGGATCCGAGCTGAAGTTTTCAGTGCCCTAGATGATGATCATGAACCCCGACCAACATTGTCTCATGAAAACCTTCTAATTAACGAATTAATTCGGGAGTATTTGGAATTCAACAAATATAAGTATACGGCATCGGTCCTCACAGCAGGTAAGTGGTCATGGTTTATCATTTGAGGCAGAATCTGTGCCTCCCTTTCCCAATTTATCCTAGAAGTCCAGTTTCATTACCAAGCAGTGTCATCTGGGTGATTGGATCAGAAAAATCATATGTGCTCTTTTCACAGCTCAAACAAAAATTTTTTAAAAATATTTATTTTTTAGCTTTTAGGTGGACACAATATCTTTATTTTATTTTTATGTGGTGCTGAGGATCGAACCCAGGGCCTCATGCATGCCATGCCAGGCAAGCTTGCTACTACTTGAGCCACATCCTCAGCCCATCAAACAAATTTTTATAAGGTTTAACATACTACAGGAAAAAATACTAGCTAGAACTTTCCATTACAGATCCTTTAATATTAAGCATACATTTCTGTATCCCTCAGTTTGTTATAGATGGCTATATGATGCCAGTGACATCAGCTAGTTATCTTGGATTTTGGCTTCCCTAGAATGAAATCCAGTGAGGTAACCAAATTTCATATTAAATGTTTTGGCTTTAAAAAAAAAGTGTAAAATTTACATACAAAAAAAATTACCTTTTTTAGTGTATAGTTCTATGGATTCTGTCAAACATGTTTAATCGTGTAACTACCACCACAGTCACAGTCGAGACACAGAACATTTCCATCACCTCAGGAGATTTTCTGGCACCCATCTGTGGCCAGCCTTGTCACTCAGCCCCGCCCTGACACTCACTAAGCTGTCGTTTTTCTGTTCTGGGGTCTTCTTTTCTGGAGTATCCTGCATGGAGCATATTGGTAAAGCCTTTTGACTCTGCTTCCCGTTGCTTGCATACTGCATCTGAGGTTCAGCCATTCTGGCTGTCTCCTGCAAGTGGCATTATCCCCAGGGAAACAGTGTGGCCCTGCCAGTTCACCTGCTTCAGTGGTTAGGCAGTTAGGTGGTCTCTAGTTTGGGGCAGTTATGAATCAAGCCGCTATAAACATTTACTTATGAGTTTTTATGTGAACATGAATATTCATTCTCTTGGGTAAATAGCTAGGAGTAGCATTGCTGGGTTGTGTGGTAAATGTTCACAGACCTTTATAGGAAAAGGGGCCAGCTGTTTTCCAAAGTGACTACGCCGTTTTACTTTCCCACCAGGGAAGTACGAGAGTTCCAGTTGCCGGTGTCCCTGCCGGCACTTGATATCGAGTCCAGTTTTACTTTTAGAATTACTGATGCCAAATGGATATATTTTTTCAAAATTGAGTTATTAGTAGTTATGTGTTTATATTTTGGTGGTGCTGGGGATTGAACCCATAGCCTTGTGCATGGGCGGCAAGCACTCTACCAACTGAGCTATATCCCCAGCCCTCCCGTCATTCCCCTTTATCTAATCAACTGAACATCTATTATTTCCCTCTCCCCCTTATTGTGGGTTCGCTTCCATATATTAGCAAAAACATTTCATCTTTGGTTTGGGGGATTGTCTTATTTTACTTAGCATGATAGTCTCCAGATCTATCCATTTACTGGCAAATGTCTTAAAGTCATTCTTCTTTATGGCTGAGTAATGCTGCACTGGCTTCTCGGGAAACTGATTGAAGTATTTTCAATCCAGAATTGGGGATTTAAAAACTTAGGTTAAACTGCATTACGTTTTGCATTAACAGAATGAATTTTTCAAAGTCATAAAGTCGGTTGCAGTTGGATCTACCCTGTTTTGTTCTGTCATTAATCTTCCCAAATCTGAAAAACGTATGTGTATCTGGTAAGTTTGGTTGTTATCAAAATCACATTTGTTTTTAGATTAACAGACTCGGTGTTTTAATGAATTTTTCCCCTCCAGAATCTGGTCAACCTGCAGTTCCACTGGACAGACAGTTTCTCGTCCGAGAACTAAATGCCTTTGAAGAGTCAAAGGACAGCAAAATGTAAGAAGCTTCTTTAATGTGGGCTTTCAGCTCCTGTTGCAGGAGTCCTCTTGGTGCAGGGGGCCGTGGTTTCTCTTTAATTCAGCAGGTCTTAACCCAGATCTGGTGTGCAGCAGCGAGAAGGTCCGCTCTGTTCGTGAAAATTCCTGTGGCGTCAGAGGACTGAGCGTCTCTACTATTTTTTTTTTTTTCGGTGGTGCTGGGCCTGGGCCCCAGGGCCTGAATGTGCATGCTGGACATGGGCTGCGCTGAACCCCGCCCCAGCCCTCTTCTCAGGGCCACTTTCACTTGCTCTCCCTCTCGCCCGCTCTGCATCTCAAGTTCTGTCCTCGGGTTGACGCCACCTGGTGGGAGTGGGCGGCACTTTCTGGTGGTGGTTCTTTCCAGAGGGTCCCTGGGTGGGCTGAAGAGGGCTGTGGCTGGCAGGCCAGGCCCTCGCACTCCAAGCAGCCTGCCCCAGCACCTTTCCTTCTCTTTCTGAAAATTCATTGAGCTTTCAGTTCTCCCTCCTGGTGTGATGGGGTTTGGTTACCGCGAAGCGTTTGACATACGTGCAGTCGGTGCCCCTGATAATGTGTGCCGGCCCTCTACTCTGAGTTGAGGCATGCGGGCCAAGAGTGGTGTCTGTGGATTTCTGATTTGAGAAGCTCAACTTCACTTGAGTTTCTGCAGTGTTTTGGAATATTGGCTTGTCTTAAAATGCTTTTTGTCATTTGTTTCTAAGACTCTTTATGTCTTAGTTTCTGGGGCTTCCTCATAGTGCTCTCAGTTTCTTTGTTGACTCTTTAGGGCTCCTTTCACCTCCGCCTGCCCCCAAGTCTGCCCTCTCCTTGTCCTCCACCTCCTCTTCTGGGGCCTCTGGAGGCTCCAGCGAGGCTGCCTGCTGCTGCCTGCTTTGAACCCTAGTGGTAGGCCGGGTTTCTGCTGGCATGTCCGGAAACCAAATGGGTTATTCTTATCTCCTCAACTCCCCGCCCCTATGGGAGCCTCCTGCAGCTGCTCAGGTCTTAACTCGGAGTCTCTCGAGGTGTGAGGTGAGGTGTGAGGTGCGGCTCTTTCTGTTCTCTACCGGTCCCTCCGCAGATCCCACTGCTTCTGCCCCTGCTGCGTCCCCTGTCCGCTCTCCTGTCCGCTCTCGTCCTGCACCCCTCTGCTCAGGAACCCTCTGACTAGTTTTTTTTTTTAATCTCCAGTCACCTTCTTTTCCACCTTGTTTTACCTGCCACTGTCTTTTAACAGAGTTGTTGCATTGTTTAAAAACAACCTTGAGGATGTGAGGAAGCCCCAGCGCCTCTGCCCAGCGTCTTCCCACCTGTCTCTGGTGGGATTGGCTCACACCTCACTGTGCGTTGTCCCCAGAGGACACCTTGTAACCCCAGGCTTCTCTGCCTTTGCACCAACTGTCCCTTAGCCTCGCAGCCAGGGTCACTTCCTTGTTCGTCTCACTTCCTGTGGGAGTGTCCTTCGTCACCCTGGCCCTGTTCAGGTGTTAACTTCTTTTTGACATTTTTTCTTCCTCCTCTTTCCAGGTTTCTGTGTTTAAGATTTGATTTGTACTTTTGTTATACATGTGTCTCATTTTTTTCTTAGACTTAACTGTTTATAGTTCATCTACTGGACAGGAATCTTTAAGAAAAAAGGATATGTGACATTCATTTCTATTTGTCATGGTATGTCACTGTGTTCTCTCTCTTTTTTTTTTAATATACTTTTGAGATGTTGATGGGCCTTTATTATATTAATTTATTGATACGTGGTGCTGAGAATCGAACCCATTGCCTCACACATGCCAGGCAAGTGCCACCACCCAGCCCCTGTCACCATGTTCTCTACACACATGAATACCCAATAAAATGCTTACTGCACTGAACCTCCATTACCCAGATAATTACTAACTATATAAAATCAGGGTTGCTTTGAAAAAGAGGAAAAAAACCTTTTTAGCTCAGTTCCATTGATGTATATTTTCTTAAAGTCCTCATGTGGGCAGTAAATGACTGTAGAAGGCTTTAGCAGCAACATTAGGCTGACTAGAAAGAAGATAATTCCATTACGCCATATTCTGAATCTAGAATTTGACCCAAATAAGTGTAGCTGGGGCTAGTGCACACCGGGACCTCGCAGTCACGTCTCCAGCTCACACTCCACATTCGCATTCCCCCGAGCATCCAGACCCCGCTCAGTCCTGTGCTGGGAGGTCTGCTGCTCTGATGGAAGGGCCCGATAGGCATGAGACAGGAGGAGGTGACGCGCTTGCCTGCCTGCCCCTCTTAAGGTCAGACACTTCTGTGAACTGCCACAGGCCCCCAGAGGCAGAGCAGTGGCTGGAGGGGTCAGGACAGACCTCTTCAGCAGGGGGTCAGAATGTTTTAAGTGACAGTGAAAGTAGTAATTGTTGTTGAGAAAGAATGCAGACAGCACAGAGAGGCAGCTATTGAAGAGGAACAAGCTTGGCCCTCGCTGAAAGCCAGTCTCACTTCCCCAGACGCCCACCGTGGACTCTCTCCCTTGCAGCCATTCAAACTTACGCTATATTTAAGCCTACCCATTGTACTTTCTCCTGCCTGTGCAGGGGATGTATTTGCCACTTGTTTTTCATCCCAGAGTATATAAATCTTTTTTTCTAAATAAGATTATAAATTATTTCAGCTGTACAGAGCAGTACGGAGTCATGCAGCAGACTCTGAGTTCCTTCCCCTCCGGCTTGGAACCTTACGCTTTGTCTTTGAGTTTTTTAACTACATAAATATTAAGGGTATCTTTGAAGGCCACCTTCCCCCATTTCCCCTCCCCCAGCAAAACTGTTTCCCCTTTCTGTTTTAAACAACTTTGTAGTGTTCTGTGTACCATAAATGATTGGCACCTGCTCCTATCTGTGGACATTTAGGTTGTTTCCAGTGTTTTGCTATTGCACCAGATACCGCAGTGAATGTTGTTGGTTCACTTAAAAGTGTCTGAGAACCCATTGTGTATCAGACACTGTTGTAGGCTCTGGGGACAGCAGTAGGCATTGTTTTCTGCAGTGTTGTCTGGGAACCAACCATGCCCAAAGCGTGATCCACAGAATAGTTGTCCTACGAGAGTCACCACAAAAGAGATTTTGAGCAGGAAGCCACCATACCACTTCCCTTCTTGGAGATTCATGATCACCTTATTAGGGCAATTGCTCTGAGAAATCCTGCAATCAAAGAGCCATTGTTACCTAACCTGTTTGGCAGAGGGACCGATTTTGGCATAAGTATTCACATCCTGTAAAGCCAGAGTTCATGGGTATAGTTGATAGCTGTACTTAAACACTGAGTTGTTAAAGCAGTGGGTAACACTTTAGAAAGCATATATTTTGACAAATTTTGAAAAGTATAGAAAACTGGCAGAGTGGAAATGGTGGGAGTGGTAATTTGGAGGAGTCTACGTGTGACTTGGGGCGGGCCGGGAGGTAAGGTGGCATCCAGTTCAGGACCTTGGTTTGCCCGTAGCACTAGGGAATGAACCCTGATACAGTCTTCCTGGCTCTTGGTAGTTTTAAGATACTTGCTGCAGATGAAAGGATTAAGAAGTAAGTGACGGCTTTACTTCCAAAAATTTAGGGAAATTCTTCAAGCTCTACTTTTGCTGAGTTTAGTGATTCGCCTTTGCCAAGTTTGCCATCCCCCTGTAGCACTCGGGTTATTCACTTAGTACAGATCTTCTGTGCTAGTTCTGAAACCCTTAGAGCTGCTGGGTCTTGAAAGTCCAGAAGTTTTCATAGATAATATGTTAGGTCAAACCCTGCCACCAAATGAGGGTGTGCCAACCTTATGAAGAAAGTTCCAGTTTTGAGAGGTTTGATTTTTCAGTATTGTATGTGAGGCTGTACTTTAAATGATCTTTTTAAAACTTATTTTAAAAAATGACTCTTAATATCCATGAAATTGCAAGTTAAATGTGTTAGTTATATACAAGTTAGAATACTTGATTTTTTTAAAAATTTCAATCTTTTGTCAATCTTATCCATATTTAAAATATAAAAATTTAAACATTTAACAATCATCTTAACAAATTAATACTTGGGGAAAGACTGGCTTAAAATAATAGGAGACGTATCTTTTAATGGCTAGGTGAGGCCTGTCTAAGAAAGGGTTGGGACTCCTCTTAGAGAAACCTCCTTTCCTGCTTTCCTGGTAACATGGAGAAATTGCTTTGATATGCAATTATTTATTGCTGCCTAAGCGACTGCCCAGAATCTGATGACTTAAAACAAATGTTTATCATTGTCTGTAGCGAATGTGGGGAGTGGGCGTAGCTGGAGAGTCGAGCTCAGGCTCCCTCCTGAGGCTGCGGCGTCTGGGCTTGCTGGGGCTGGGAGGTGTGCTTCCCGTCGGCTCTCGGCTCTCGGTTGCCAGCTGTTGATGGGCAGGAGGCCTCAGCTCCTTGCTCTTCATTCCCAGGGGGCTGCTGGAGAGTCCTTGGGAATCGACCTTCCCCTAGAGAGAAAGCAAGGAGGTAGACACTGTCACTCTCCATCTTATTCCTTGTGTGGGAACTGAGACCAGTTCGCAGGGAGGGCAGTTTGGTTCCAGTTTCAAAGGACTTGTTCATGCTTTGAACCATACTAGCTGGTAAGTAGGTGGATATCTAAAAAAATAAGTCAGGTTCATTGTGTTTTCAAGGATGAAATTAAAAACATTTCTGTATTGTCAACAGAGCAGCTTTCATTGATGCAAAGGCACTGATATCAATTCCTGGGTGGCATATTTCTAGAAAAAGTATGGGACTTGGGGTATAAATATGAACTTTATTAATCTCTGGGCTGTGGATTTCTCATTCACAAATTGATGATAATGGTTATGACATCACAAAGGGAGGATAAAATGAAGAGGAGTAGGAGTGTTTGGTGAACAATTCAGCTGCCACGTGTGTGCCGGGCAAGCCCTAAGCACTCAGTGCGTGGCGTTTGGGCCTGTGCTTTCCCCACCTCAGGTGGCAAAGCCAGTATTGGAGCCCTGGCTGTCTGGATGTGTGATGTTTTCTGGGCCCTGATTTATTCAACAGGCATTTGCTGTCCTATTATCAGGCAGAGTCAGATACTGGGAGGTATATGGACTTGGAGTTTAAAAGCTGAATTCCTATGAATTGATTCATAGTATTTCAGTTTATATGAATTTTAAGTTGTTCACATGTTTTCTCTGGGTTTTAAATTTTCCTTCAATTGATACTTTTAAATTTAAGAGTATGAATAGTTCACAACTCAATAATAATCATACACTATTTTCTTAATATTATTTTTTGATACTGGGGATTGAGTCCAGGGGTGCTTTACCACTGAACCACATCCCCAGCCTTTTGTTTTTGAGAAAGGGTCTCACTAAATTGCCGAGGCTGGCCTTGAACTTATGATAATCCTGCCTCAGCTCCTGAATCACGGGGATCATAGGCATGCACCACTGCCCCCGACTTATAGAACTGTTTTTAAGCCTAGTGAATTACTTGGCCATTTTGGTGTCAGAGGTTATCTTTTAAAGAATAAATGTTTTTAGTTGTCCCTTTTATGTCAAATTAATTGATTTTTTTGTTTTCTTCCTGCTACAGACCTCTTTTATATGGAATTTTGGCTCATTTCTTGCATGGAACTAAGGACGGTGTCCCAAACACCTTTCTGAAAGAGTCTTCACTTCAGCCTTCAAACCCAAATCTTGTCAGACAGAAGAAGGCCGATGGGTAAGAGGTTCCTGAGGTTCCTCTTTTAGCTTTAACAAGTGTGTTTTCTTCCTGTGCATTTGTATCCTTGAAGGAGTTTTTCCTGAGCTTTTGAGCCGTAGTTTAATTTCACTTATATCTAATACAGTGAGCTTATGTTACTCAACCTTCAAGAAATACTTTTTGGAAAGAAAATTTTAAAAAGAGTAGGGGAATAACTGGGAAAGTTCATATATGTGTGTGTGTGTGTGTACACACATACATGTAAATTCATATACACACACAAAAGTTTTGCAAAACCCGATTTTTATTTATAGTCCTTGGAGCACTGCAGATCTGTATACTGCAAAAGTAGTTTTTTTTTTACCCAGGGATCATTTTTCTCTGTCCAGGAGCTAAACACAGATGGAGAAGTCATGGGCCATGTGTCCTTTGCATTTTCAGGATTTTTTTTTTACAGTAGATGGTGGTTATTTTGACAAATAATGGATTCTTAGAATGACTTGATCTTTTTTTTCAGAATGCTTGCTGTTAAAATGAGCTTTCAGTTGTTCAGTTACATCAGTAGTGGAGCCTCCGTTTTGGATTGCATTTTAGCTGAGTTTCTAGCGGTGGTAGAGAGCTCATCGCTCTGCCCACTCCTACCACTAGTTCTTCTGTGTGGGCACGTAAAGTAGAATTGCTGGTCACAGTGTACGCATATTGAAAACCAGCACAAATTGTTTACACACTTCCCAGGAATATGTGACCATATCCGTTTGTTCCAGTGGATCTGGGTGACACATGAGCACTTGTTACACAGCAATCGCAAGACATTGTATTAGTCCCGGCAAGAAAGAGAGCCTCTTGAGAAATAAGCCTTTCTGGCTCGTAAGCTTCTTATAATCAGCCTCTTAACATTCCTGCTAGTGACAGGTACTTCCTGACCAAGTTCTGTTCAGAGGTGGAAGTCACTGATGAGCTCCTGCTGTCTTACACCACACGGGGATGGACACGGAGGGAAAGAAGGGGCAAGAGACAAAGTGCCAAAAGTATCGTAGAATCGGCTTCAAGGCAGTAAAGCAGCTTTGGGTGCCTGTTCTGTGGCAAGCTCCATAGAAAGCCCAGCAGTGAGGGTGACCACTGATCCAGTGGACAAGAACGATGACTTGCAAATTATTTTCTTGGCACAACAGTGATTTCTTTGTGCAATGACTTGAAGCACTGTCAGCCACATGTTGCGTCATGTTTCAGGAACACGGTTCAGCAGTCCACTCGCTTTCTTAGCCTGCATACCTGCACGTCTGGAGCTGCGTCACTCTTACCTGACAGCGCTGAGGAGGTCGCAGAAATAGTAAAGTGACCACTCTGCAAGCCACACGCCTTATCACTGCACCAGCCCATCCGGACGCAAGATAAGACATCAAACAAAATCTGCTTCCATTTGAAAATAAGCCCAAAGCCTGCCAAGATGAAAGCACACCTCATAAGAGCTTTCAGAGTGGGGGAAACCCCTCTGAGAGCGCAGCTCACTATCCTGCTGCTGTTGACCCTTGCCACCTTGCAGGCAAAGAAGTTTTTGCTCCGAATAAAGACAAGATGTTTAGAGAAAACCTTTATCAGCTCGACTTTATACAAAAATGCAGACTCCATTTTCTAGAACATGACTTTTCTAGAAGACCTAACATCATTGTGCTCTAAGGAACTTGTTCATTTTGTTCTGTCAACAAAGTTGCCCAAATGTGGGGAGAGACAGATCTCCATCTGTTATCCAGACTGGAGAGGTCCTAGTCCTAAGGCTGCTCAGCCTTTGGTGACATTCAACTCTGGGAGATGTCACCTCTTCTTAAGGATTTGAAAACCAAGTGTGGATTTTTGGTACTAAATCTGCATTTTTCTAATTGCTTGCCTAAATTTGTATTTTCTTAAAAGAATTGACACAAGAAAGGCTCTGTCAGCTGTGGCAGTGCTGGGCTGGGCAGAAGTGCCCCCTTTACTGTGGCCAGAGCACTGCAGGGGTCACAGAAGCCTCCTGGAGCTTTCTTGTCTTGTTTTGGGGCTTTTGAAAACATTTTCCACGGTTCCAGGAGTTTTCGAATCTTGGTAGGAAGATGTGAATGTGCCCATGTTTTTCTTGCCACCAGAGGGCGCTGCTGGGAGGCGCTTGTGTCTGAAGGTCTTGTTTCTGATGGAAGAGCCCTGGCGCCCTCAGCCGCTGACCCACCACTTGTCCTCCTCCCTCGTGAATTCCATTCCTTACAAATAAGAGGGAGGCCTGGAACTCATCACTCAGGGGTTTCCTCCAGCCTGCCTCCTTCACTTAAAAAAAAAAAAAGGGCAAGAAACACTTTTGAATAGTTAGCCCCGAGGACTGAACATTTCTGACTTCCTCAGTAGGTTTAAGAAGTGCATTTAAAGGCAGGTGCAGTGGTGCAGGCCTGCGATCCCGGCCCCTTGGGTAGCTGAGGCTCACAAGTTCCAGGCCAGCCTAGGAAACCTTAGCAAGGCCCTGTCTCAAAATTAAAAAATAAAAGGGGCTGGGGATGTGACTTATTCCTAGGTTCAAGCCCCAACACCAAAAAAAAAAAAAAGATTTTTTTTTTCATCATCTTAAGCCATCTTCAGAACTCATCAAAGAGTGCATGACAACATTGGAAAATACGTGCAGGTGTGGCCACCCCTGTGACTTGGGATACATGTTTACATGTGCTTCTGCTCATTCCAGGTGACCACCAGGAAAGGAGAGGGGTGAAGGCACCAACACTGAGGCTGTCCCCCTTTCTCAAGCCGTGAAGAGATGACACTTCGATGCAGAGTATCTTTTATCTTAAAATTGTGTGTATTAAGTAACTTATTTATCATTCCAGAGTTACCATTTTGTAGAAATTTGAGTTTCTGCAAAATACTTGACCCCTCGTGTTTTACTGCATTTGTGAATAAAAGCTAACTCTGTCATCTAGCTTATTGGATGTGACTGGAAAGAAGGTGCATGGTTTTTACAAAGTAGTTTAAAGGTCCAGAAGTTCATGAAAAAGGCAAGGGCTTTTAGAACTTTGTACCTTCTTCTAAAAAAAGTTCCAGGCCTTTATCCACATGTTCTGCTCCTTGACATGCACATTAATTAAATTTCCTTCAGTTGGAATCATGTGAACTTGTAGGAAAATTCATTCATGACTTAAAGAATATTAAAACCAAAACTAATTTCCTGTACAGTTTGATTTTTCTTAAAGGACCTATTTTTCAGAAAACCACTCATGATTCAGCTTAAATGTCTGAATTACTACCTAAAGTTAAATTTGTAAATAGATAACCAAGTACTTTTTCTTTCCTTAGTCCATTTTGGCTTCCGCTGGAAAATTTAATTAAAAGGTAGAGGGGGAAATAATTCTTTTAACATGCTATAAGTAAAACAAAGAGTTTATTATATTTTATTAAGAATGTAAAATAAGGGGGGCTGGGTTTGTGGCTCAGTGGTAGAGCGCTCACCTAGCACGGGCGGGACCCGGGTTCAATCCTCAGCAGCACATAAAAATAAAGGCATTGTGTTGTGTCCATCTACACCTAAAAAATATATATTTAAAAAAAAAAAAGAATGTAAAATAAGGGGCTGGGGTTGTGGCTTAGTGACTGAGCCCTTGCCTCATGTGTGTGAGGCACAGGGTTTGATCCTCAGCATCACATGAAATAAATAAATAAATGCAAAGATACTGTGTCCACCTACAACTAAAAAAAGAACGTGAAATGACATGAAGTGACAGGCTTTAGGGAAATACCAGAAGGAGCTTTCCCTAGAGGCACTGTTGAAGCCCCGCGTGGCCCGGGTCGTGCAGTTAAGACGGCTGAGGGACGCGCGCCTTCCTGCGCGGGCTCTGGAAGTCATTTTGAATGTCCGTGTGTCTCCAGAAGCCCCTTTGATCATTGCTAAGGAAGTCTCGTGGTGTGGAGTTTCACTAAGACAGCTCTCAGGGTAGCCCGCTCCTGGTGCAGAGTCGTGGGGCGCTGGAACTCAGAGCGCCTGGACGTGACCGTCTAGCCGCGTGCTTCCCACGGGAGAATCTGAGGGCTGTGGCTGGTGCCGCTGTCACCCTCCTTGGGATGCTGGGTATGTGCTAACTTTGAAAATGACAGAAACCTTTGATTTTATATTTGATGATGTTAATTGTATTTACTCCTTACAGATTAAGAATTTTTATCTAAACACAAATCACCATTGTTTTTCATTTTTATTTTATTGTGTTTGGGCTGGAGCTCGGGGCCCCAGGCTTTCTAGGCAGGTGCTCTACCACTGAGCTACCCAGCCCATCAGAAACTACTATTGAAACTATATTTTATAAGTCAAAAGATTTTGAGAGCTGGGCGCAGTGGCTCATGCCTGTCATCCCAGTGGCTTGGGAGGCTGAGGCAGGAGGATCTTGAGTTCAAAGCCAGCCTCAGCAACAGCAAAGTTCTAAGCAACTCAGTGAGACCCTGTCTCTAAGTGAAATACAAAATAGGGCTGGGGATGGGGCTCAGTGGTCGAGTGCCCCTGAGTTCAATCCCTGGTACCCCCCCAAAAAAAAAGATTTTGAGAGCCCTGTTTGTGGGTTAAAATTATATCTGTAGATGCAGAGTCTTGTAAGGGCTCATTTTCACTTTTAAATCTGTAATGTCTGATTACAATTATGAATTCCATTGTATCATATGTGGGAATATAAAGATCTGACTTTTCCCAGCAGTCTTGGTTCACATCCAAGTTGTTGTCACTAAGTTTACCTCAGGAATTGCAATCATGTAGATTAAGGAAAAATGCTGGAGTTGATGATTTTGGATACTGTTGAAAAACCATCATAATGAAAGCTGACCAGAACTGTCACCGGTGTTGTAGCCTTCTGTGTGCATTTCTCTGTAACTCCTGTGCCTGGGCAACTTTTATACTTTCAATATATCATTTAATTAAAAAAATTTTAAGCAACTCACCTTTGTGCAAAGGGTGTTTGTATCGCTGCTGTGTGGTCAAGAGCTGGGCACAGAAACAGAAGAAGGACCTGGTGGCTCTCCCGCTGCCTGTCGGGGTCCTCATGGTGGAGAACCAGGAGTAGGGGCTGGGGTCTGTGTCCTGGGCTTCAGCCCTGTCACCCTGCAGCAGCTATTCCCAGGGTGCAGTGGGGGGCCTGTGCCAGTCCCTCGGGGGGTAGCGTGATAATGGGGGGCAGGGGTGGTTTGAAAACATTTATATTTGGAAAAGAAAAGACAAAACATTCACTGAGAATTTTATTATCCAAAAAGAAGGACTTCATGTTAAAAAATCTGCCCTAGAAATTTCCATACTTGAGATTTTTCAGTAGTGTCAGTTTTTAATCCAGGAGCTCAAAAAGGCAGTGCCTGAGCAGGGAGACACTGGGGGAAAGAAAAACGAGCACAAATGGATTCAAGGAAAGAGAGAGCTCCATAGTGCTGATGGGTTCCCTGGGCTTGGGAGAAGTTGGGGGAAAATGTTGGATTTACACAAAAATCAAATGGGAAAGTGGAACAGAAGGGATTTAGGGAGGTGGAGATTTAAAACGTGGACAGTCCAAAAATCCAGAGCAGGCTCAGAGGGCATTCGAAGATGATGAACAGGCTTGGCATATGTATTTGCATAGAATAAACGAATCGCCTTATAATTACGTGCGAGTACACATTTGTGTGTGGCTCACGAGCCTGTGTGACTGTGTAACCTTGATGAGTTCTTTTAGCCTAAAGCCAAGTGCACAGGAAGGATCGAGTTGTGACAATCTGCCTTTAGAGGCCCTTGGTATGTGACGTTTGTAACAACTGTTAGGCACAGACTATGATCTCCGTGGATTTTTTAAAAAGAAAATGAAGGAAAACTACCTTCTTAAAAGTAGATGATATTGTTTAGAGCAGTTGCAGACGGCAGCTAAATAGAAAGGAAGTGCCCTCTCCTCCCTGCCCCCAGGGACGAGCAGCCTCCGCACCTCTGTCACTGTGGACGGTCCATGGTTGCGTTAGGGACCACTTGGTGTCTGTCCCATGGTTTTGGACAAACGTGTACTCACATATGTTCACAGTATAGTGTTAGACAGCAAGTTCCCCCCACACCCTCTGTGCTGGGCTTTCCTCTGCCTTTTGCAGAGACTCTAGCTGGACGTATTCAGACTGGCTTCTTTCACCCAGGACCCTGCATGAGTTCCCCTCATTGCGTCATGATTTGAAAGCTCATTTCTTTTTAGTCTTGAGTAGTATTCCACTGTTATTTGTCCATCCCCCACTTGGGACATAGTAGTTGCTTCCAAGGCTGGGCAGTTATGAACAAAGCTGCTACAAACATCCATGTGCAGGTTGGGTTTTTTGTTTTTGTTTTTGTGTTGGACATAAGTTTTCAACTCCTTTGGATAAATTCCTAAAAAGCGTCACTGGCTGGATCATATGGTAAGAAAATGTTTGGTTTTGTAAAAAATTATTTTTGTTGAGACTCTTGGGACCCTTTCCTAAGATAGTGGTAGAGAATCTACAGTTACTGGGAGGCCAGAGTTGGAAACTGGTGACAAGGAGGGTGGCAGGTCACTACCCAGTGCAGTCTTACATCTGGAGAAGCGTGGGGCCGCCTGGCTGAGCGGAAGTGCTCTGGGCAGTGCAGGGGGCACAGTTGTGCTGTGGTCAGGAATCTTGGGCCAGGTGGACTTGAGATGATACCTGGGGCCTATTAAGTATTTGAGTATATAAATCTATTTACCTTTTAAGTAAATAAATCCTGAAGCCCACACAGGAGTAAATCATGCTTAGGGTGACCTATCTTTGATAACTAGAAATTAGAAGGGGTCGGGTGCTGTGGTGCATACCTGCAATCCCAGCAGCTCGGGAGTTTGAGGTGGGAGGATTGCAAGTTAGAGGCCAGCCTCAGCAACTTAGGGAGACCCTAAGTAACTTAGGGTCTCAAAATAAAAATTGGAGGGAATCACACTTTGGGGGCTTTTTGAAAACAGTAACAAGAAATTATATTTTTTTTAGAGAGAGAGAAAAAAATTTTTAATATTATTATTTAGTTTTCGGCGGACACAACTTCTTTGTTTGTATGTGGTACTGAGGATCGAACCCGGGCCGCCCGCATGCCAGCCGAGCGTGCCACCGCTTGAGCCACATCCCCAACCCAAGAAATTATTTTTAAAAAGATCCTGAGAGAAAGATTTCCTCTCCCCCATAGTTCATGGAAATGCGCATTATATGGTCCCTCACAGAAAAGACGTGCTTCGGAAAAATATTTGACAGCACTCAAAGTGACATTTTGTAAAGCAGCTTTTTGTCTCCATCTTAAAATAACTGGCCTTTTGAGACATGAGAAATAAAACAGGCATCTGCTTTAATTCATAGAAGAATGCACTTTTGAAGATTCCAGCATCTGAACGTGGTGCATGGGCCGGCACATATTGAACGGCCGTTACGTGAACATGCCATCTCTGGGCACTTCTAGAGCATGCATGATGAAGTGGTTGATGGAAAGCCTCAACACCATCAGATTCACAACACGGCAAGCTAGTCAAGGCAGGGTCTCATCTTTGCTTTTCCTTTGAGAAAATGGACTCAGGTACAGCAACAAGCCCGCAGCTGCTTGGCTGGTGCTTATTTAGTATTAAAAGTCAGACTTGTGCTTACTGCAGACTCAGGCGGTGCTCGGAATCCCTGCCCCACTGCTAACTACCCCAGCTACTTGCCCTGGGTGTCTCACCTCTCCAGACCCTCACCTACTCCATGTCCTTATTAAGGACCACAGGAGAGAGCAAGTAAAACTGAGCATTGGCTTCAAAGTCTCTGCTTCTAATTACTCTCTTCTCAAAGTTACCAACAAGTTCTTCAAGGAATCAGCTGCAGCCCTTTGGAATACCACTGTTTAGGGCCAGTGGTGGAAATGCCAGTCCTTCCTCGGAGGGGGCCAGGCTGGGTTGGGCCAGCCGCTCTGGACTCTTTCCAGGATGGGAAGGTGAGGATCGGCTGAGTCTTCCCCCTTTCTCTGCTAATGCAAAGACAATTTCCACTCCTTTTACAGTGTAGATGTGAAAAGGTATGTGGGGAAGCAGCTCATTTGTCATTTTCTAAAGAGCTTCACCCTGAACTTCCCCAGCCGTGGAACTCGGGCTGCTCTTGGCAGTAGGATTCAGGCCTCTGAGCTGGTGGGGGTTGGGCGCACGCAGATGCTTTCAAGGGTGAAAACCAGGTGGACTTGATGTTGGAGGGTGTCCCCAGGACCGGGAGGGTCTGAGCTGCACAGCTGTCTGAAAGGAGCGGGGAGGCAGTTCTATTGGAGGGTCTGTGCAGCTGGACCTGGTTTCCTGGAGCCGGCCAGAGGTCTGCTCCTTTCACATCAGGGACTGCTTATCCCCAAACAGGAAGGGCCGACGTCCTGCCGTTTTCCAGGTGTGGAAACCGAGGCCTGGCAAGGTGAACTCACTTGCTCGTGGCCAAACAGCTAGAAAGTGGCTCTGGCAGCTTGACTCCCAGACGTCCACCCTCAGCTCCTGCCCTTGGCCTTCTCCTGTGCTCCCCCGGATGTCCCCTGTCTGGAAGTGAATCTTCCTTTCACAAAGCCCCAGCACCAATCCATGGCTGTCCCAATCCATGGCAGTCCCCTGTAGGGACTCGATCTTCTCGTCTGAAAAGTGGAGATATTGGTTCCTATTGGTTCCCGGGCTGTTGGACAGGGCGTGGGCCAGGTACAGAGCCTGCCAAGGGTCTTCCCAACTTTTTTTTAACCCTTTCCCCAGATCCTCCGGCTTAAAGCAGTTGGGCGCACGTGGGCCTGGAGCGGGACGGCCCCTTTGGGCTCTGCCCGGGCAGAGGGTCCCCTCCACCCGCGGGCGGCGGCGGCCAGCTGCGGGATGCGGCCGGTCCCCATCCCCGCCCGCGCGCCGCGCCGCGCTCGGCACCATATTTAGTCAGGGGGAGCGGGCAGCCCCGGCTGGTATGCGGCGCTGGGAATTCCTGCAGGAGGAGCCCGCGCCTGGCCTTTTTGGGTTGTCTCCCACCCAGCGCCGGGGAGAGGATCGGCTCGACCCGCCCGGCCCGGGAACCTCGCGGCGGTCCGCGCGGGGAGCGGGGCGTCCCCGGCCTGGAGCGGGGCCAGCTCGCTGCCTCGACTCCTTTTATGGCCTGTGCGTGCGGGTGACAGGGAGGAAAGGGACCGGGAGAAGACAGCCAGAGACCAAGGATAGAGATGGGCGGGCGACAGAGGAGGAGGGGACAGGGGGCCCCTGGAAGAGGGATGGGACAGGGGCTAGGACCACAGTCCGAATGGGACCGGAGCGCGAGCGAGGCGACTAAGGTGCCAGACGTGCGGCACCTGAACGCCCCGGAGGGAGACCGCAGGCGACTTCTTGGTCTCTGAGCCCCTGGGAGGAGCAGTGGGAACTCGCAGCGCAGAGGCGCCCCCACGTTCTCCCGGGACGGTGACCCGCACCCCGCAAATGACACAGCGGCCCCGCCCCCACCCACTCCCACGTCCTATTTTGCTGATGCAAAGGCTCAGCGAAGGCAATGACTCGCCCCAGGTCGCCCGGCTCTCCGGGACACAGCGGGGGGCTGGAGGCACAGAGCGGGATTGCTTTAGTTTTGCTGGTGGCCGCGGGCGCGGAGGTGGGGCTGGCAAGTTGGGAAAAGCGAAAAATTCCCCTTCTGCCCCCTTCCCAGCCGTCCGGGAGGACCGAGGGACGCCCGCCTCGTACTTTGAAAAGTTGATAAATAAATAATTTATCAATCAATCAATCAATCAATCAACGCGATCCCCTTTCCCTGCCCTTCACGCACACGGCCGGCCCCCTCCCTCGACAGTGGCAGGAGAATGAAATGGGGACAAGGGAGGGAGGCGTCAGGTCAGATCCGCCCCGGTCCCCGGCGCGGGCAGGAAGAGGTTAAGGCCCAGGAGGCTGGAATTAGGGAAGAAATTCCCAGTATCCAACACAGTCGCTGCCCGCTCCACCCCTTTCTCTAGGGACCCGGAGTCCTGGCGACTGCCCCGAGCGAGGGGTGAGACACCCGGCCCGTGACAGGCGCGCCCCCTGGGCCCGCGCCCCTCCCCGAGCGCCCGCGCCAGGTGCGCCCGAGGCCCCGGTACCGCGGCTCTTCTCGGGCCCTGCAGGGGGCGCCGCGGAGGCCGCACGTGGGACCCTCCCCCTCCGCCCCCCGAAGCCACCTCCTCTTTCCCACCTCCCCAGATCTGGGGCTATAAAGCCAGGCGTCCGAGGAGCGCAGGGAGATTTGGACGCCCCGGCCTGGGAGGTGTGCCAGATCTGAGCTCTGCGTCCAGCGTCCGCTCCGCAGTCCCCAGGAGGAGGTGTGTAAGTAGTGGTGGTCCTGCTGGGCAGATCCCTTGGTGGGTTTGAGGGTCCCACAGTAAGGCATTCTGCAGCGCTGGGGAAAGCTGCGGGGTCTCTGTCAGCCTCTCCTAAGGGCTGCCGCGGGGTCCCCTGTTACCCAGGTCCTCTGTTCCCCAGACCAACATCTCCCCCAAAATCCCAGCCTGGATCTAGGTCCAGCTCCAGCGCTGCTAGAATCTCCAGGAAGACGGTCCCCCCCAAAAAAAGTACTGGTAATGAGGGCTGGGGTGCACCTCCCCAGTTTGTGTGAGGCCCTGGCTTGGTCCAGCCCCTGTGCCACAAAAAAAGAAAAACCAGGACTCCCAGGTGATTCCGGTGAGAGGCTGTCCGGCTGCCACATCAGGCTCTTCATTTTTATTCTAGACACAAAAAGTGCAGCTGGCTCCCGGACAGTCCCACTTCGCCATCAGGGTCTGGAAAGTCCAGCTCCGAGTGCCTTTCAAAGCCTCTGCTGAGTTGGGTGGAGGAGAGTGGAGGGGGCGCTTTTCCTCAGTTGTCAAGCCTGTTGATAACTCCAGGGAGATAAAGCTGGCTTAGCAGATAAGGTTTGTTGATTACAGCCCAAATTTCTTCCAGACCCGGTCCCTCCAGATTTTAAAAAACCAAACCTGGTCTGGGTTGATCTCAGCCCCAGGTCCCCAGGTGGATGTTATTGGCATCCTCGCCTGACAGGCTGTTGTTAGGTCCTAGGACCTGTGCTGGGGGCCCCCAGGGTAAAAGTTGCTCTCCTGCCTAACAAAGTGGCCCAAGTGGGGGAGCGTGGCTGCTCCCTCTCACAGCTGCTGGGGATTTCACCACTCTTGGAAAGACACCTTTCAAAGCCGAGCTTGTCAAGAAGCAAAAGAAAATATTTAGAAACCCAAGGCGGGGAGCGTTTAGTTACAGCGGTAAGAACTAAGAGATGACCTTGTTCGCTGGCCAGGGTTTAGCAGCGGAAGTCAGGCTGTGGATGAACTGCTCCACTAGTTCTCTTTGGTGACCATTTGCTGGGTCTACTTAAAAATTTTAGCATTGGTTTAAAGAAAACTCAAAGATCCGAACTGCAAGAAATTTATGGCAAGGCACGTGTAGTCTAGTGAGTGTCATCTCAAGGAAAACATTCGTTCTTGCTGAATTCGTGGCTGAGATAGCTACTGTCAATGGTACACTCAGGTGGGAGGCACTAATGCTAATGGATCTCATTTAATCATTGCCCCAACCTCACCAGAGGGTCATTATGATGTTTAGTATAGAAGGCAGCCAAGACTCAGAGAAGTTAAGTAACTTGCCTAATGTCACACAGTAAGTGGTAGAACCCATTTCCCCCAGTCTGTGAGATGCCAAGTTTATGTCCTTGAGCCTACCAGATTTTTTTCTTGACTGAGGACAAAAACTTCTTGTTGCAGTCAGGTTTCCGGTAGGACCGAATGCTTCCAGCAAAGTAAATATTTATCATCGTCTCTTTGAAGAAAACTCAAACTGACCTTTTATTTTAAACTGCGAATTTAAAATAAAATGCACTGTTTGTTCCCCGGTGGGGTGGTTATCTAGCTGAAGTTGGTGACCTGAGGTGGGCTGCCATCCCTAGAGCCCAAAATGGGAACTTGCTGGGCCTCCTTTGAGAAGCCTCTGGGGGGTGCCTCATAAACACGGTGGTTTTTTTTTATTATCATGTCTGAAATAGACGTGCTATTCCGTACAAGGTATTTGTTATGGATTTATCATTACTTTTCTGTGGGAGGGCTGGGATTGAGGCACACATGCCCATTTATGGTAGCGTTTTTCCATGAGGCCATCCCCAGCCCCCTTGCCAATTACCCTGCCCTGGGCTGCTCAAGGCTCTGGGGATTTCTCGGCCCCGTCCTTCCCGGCAAGAACCAGCATTGAAGCCCAGAGGAGAGCAAACACGGGAGGAAAGGGCATCATTTTTCCCACTCCTTTTTATTTAGAAGTCTTGATTTTTGGTGGAAAAGTCATCTCCTCTATCTTTGGTAAAATGAACCCCAACAAGTGACATTTGTGCTTCAGGAGCAACTGTTCTAAAATCAGACACATTCGATTTTTTTCTGGAAAACCAAGTTCGATTTTAAAACCATCAGAATCCTAGAAGGTCATGAACAAATTTAGAAGTCCTCCACTGTGGGCTTCCCCCAGCCTCAGTTTTCCCATCTGCCGGATGGGACTGCTGAGATCAGCCAATGTTAGTTTTGCCCTGGTGATGGACAGCACTTGGGGAAACCTCGCTGGGCATGTGCTTATTAAGTCTTCACCACAACCCTTTGGAGTAGATACGGGTTATTATGGACCCTATTTTACAGATGTGGATTCTCAGTAACTTGCTCCTTAGTCCAACTAGCCATTAAGACAGGATTTGCTGGGCACAGTGGTACCTGCCTGTAACCCCAGCAGCTCGGGAGGCTGAGGCAGGAGGATTGCAAGTTCAAAGCCAACCTCAGTAAAAGCCAGGCTCTCAGCAACTCAGACCCTGTCTCTAAATAAAATATGAAATAGGGCTGGGGATGTGGCTCAGTGCCCCTCCAAAAAAGTCAGGATTCCACAATCCAAGACCTTTCTCAGGGATTACCCTTTGGGGAGAGTTAGACAATACTATAAAGGGTTTAGCACAGTGTGTGGCATCTGGCAAACTTCAGCAGATGGTCATGTATGATGAATGTGATCAGAGATGTTGAGGAGGTGGCTCTGTGTGGCACAGCTCATCTCAGGGGAACCAGGAAAGCCATGGCATGGTCTTTCCATATGGAGAAACTTGCCCTTAATTTTTGTGTAATCCTTTTTTTTGCAAATTCAGCTCCCATTTGGGGCTCAAAGTAGTAAATAGAAACTGATCAGAAACATACTTCCTCACCTGTGAGATCACAAACTCCAGTTATGCCGGCCCGTTCCTGCTTTGCTGGGGGTCACTCTGGACTCTTCAGAGCTCATCTGTGCCCGGGAGAAGTCCATCTGGTTCTCTGGTCTTCCAACCTTCACCCCTGACTTTTGGTCACATTAACCCTGGGCACAAACTGAGTTTGAAGAAGGCCAGGCAAGCACTGGAAGGGGATTCTTGTGTGTGAGAAGAGGAAGAAGCTGCTCGCGTGTCCAGAAGCAGGAAGTCGGGTATCTCTGACTTCCTGGGTTTCAGGGACCCATCCTCCTCAAAGTCACAAAGAAAAGGTCATGGGGCCTGCCTGCTCTCTGTGCAGAGTTGAACTTGCCAAGTTGGCTCTGCCGTTGGGTCCGCGTCTATGAATTCAATCAACCGTGGGCTGAAAACATTTTTTTTTTAATTGCATCTCTACTGAACATGCACCAATTTTTTTTCCTTATCATCCCCTAAATCATACAGTAGAGCAACTATTTCTATAACATTGGCATTGCATTGAGTGCTCTGAGTACTCCAGAGACTTAAAGTATGCGGGCGGACGGGCAAAGCTTCTGTGCAAACATCATGGATGGAGCATGGTTGGGTTTGGTATCCATGGACACCGGGCAATGCCTGTCCCTGGTCCTCTCCTTGGAGAGGGAGGGGCCAGTGCCTGGGACTGCCATTCCCCTATCTCCAGACAGAATATCTTTGTCTCCATCTCTGCATGCATCATGGTAAATGTAGTCTTGTGAATCTTCCTAAAATTTATCTACGTCAGATTTTCCTTTTTATGCAATTATTGGCATTCTGTAGACTAGTTCCCCCCGCCCCACCTAATTATGTATTTTCAACATCTTTTCTATGTCTGCCTGCTTTAGCACTTTTCTTATCTGCTACACAATGTAAAAGGACAACATCTTATTTAGTCCCTTATTAAATATACCAGATTCATGCCACCGTTTCTTATAAATAGTGCTTCAGGGAGTACCCTCAGGCAGGTTGACTATCTCTTATCTCCAATCGTTGGGACCACAAGTATTTCAGTTTTTTGTTTTTATTTTTAAATATTTATGGGTACATACTGTGCCATCTTGGTGATGGGACCCAACTCTAAACACAAAGGTCATTTTTTTTTTCCATATCTACATTACGAAATAGCCTGAAGGGTAAATTTTTCTTTTTTTGGTGGTATTGGGAATTAAACTCGGGGGCACTTGACCACTGAGCCACATCCCCAGACCTATTTTGTATTTTTTAATTGAGAGACAGGGTCTCACTGAGTTGCTTAGTGCCTCAATCTTACTGAGGCTGGCTTTGAACTCACGATCCTCCTGCCTCAGCCTCCCAAGCTGCTGGGATCACAGGTGTGTGCCACGTGCCCAGCTGAAAGGTAGTTTCATATGGTCTTTTTGCGTTTGAACTGCGACCTGTCCCAGAAGGTCAAGTGTGGAAGTCAACCCTCAAAAAGTATTCCAGATTTGCTAGGCTCACCGAATTTTCTCAAGAGTAAATATGTGGCCAAGTGTCATTATGAGAGCCCAGGGTCCATAAGGGGGGCATAGCCTTTGGATTTCAAGATCTGCCAGGAACCTAGCTGTCCCAATGTGTGCTCTCACGAAGCACAGGGAAGAGGTGGCCCCTTCCTAATGGACTTGACCTCAGTACTGTGTTTGAAGGGCTTTGCGATACCCTGTCCACTTTACCCCATTATCTCAGGAGATGAGGGTTCCAAGGAGCCCCATCTGGGAAACATCGTTGCATCATAGCCCAAGCGTCTCCACCCCTTGTCTGCTTCCCGTGACCAAAGTGGCTTCACACTTGGTGACTGTCAGAGGCATCAAAGCCAAGCAGAGCCTGCCAGCACCGCTTGCTCCTCTTTATGGACGGAGATTGAGTCTCTGCATTTGATCTTGTTTGTGTTTTCCAATCCTGGATGAGTCGGGCTTCCTAGCCGCGCGGACCCGCCTCGGTGACCCGTGAGCACTTTCATTTTCCTGTTGAGATTTGGGCTCCTTCTCCCTGCCCCTCTAAGGCAGCTCCTCTACATGGTGATCGGAGCTTGTCACGCTGCCTGGGAAAAATGCCCTCAGCCGGGTGCTGCGATTGGCTACTGCAAGACACTGCTCGCTGGCTGCAGAGTCATGAAAAAAATGCCACAGCCCAGCCGTGCTGTCCCCCGGGATGGGGGGACATTTTATGTTGGGAGTATTTTGCTGCAATTAAGATAAAAAGAAACAAGATAGAAAAGCGGGTTTTGTATCCAGAAAAGTCCACACGCAGAGCAGCTTGATGAAGTCCTCCAACACCATCGCTCTCCTGTGACGGGCACTAGGGTCAAGAAATAGATCACCGGCCCCCAAGCTGCCCTCAGGCCCCCAAGCTGCCCTCAGGTCCGGCCTTCCAGGGCCTTCGTGCCTGGGGTCATTCCTTCTGTGGCCTCTGTCACACAGACTCCTTTTCTAGCTTCAGGACGTCATTTAAACAGAATCACTTTTGAGTCTGCCTCCTGTTGTCAGGACAGTTTCTGTAGGATGACACTTTCTCACGGTCGGGAATCGTAGTTCATTTAATCTGATTCAAGTCCATGTTGAATATTTATTATGTGCCAGGAACTTTAAGGATTGGTTCATTTGTTTAAAACACCCCCCTGAGCTTCTGACAAGCACAGGCTCCGAGGGGCACCTGGGCTCACATTCCAGCTCTGTAGCTCTTGGCTGTGTGATCTCGGGTAGATTCCTTCACCTCTCTGAGCTTCAGTGTCCTTATGTCTAAGGTGCAGCTGGCTGTGGCGATGGTACTTAATAATTGCACGTGCAGGATTTAGCTCAGGCTGTCACTGAGTGCTCAGAAACTCCACCATGGACATGCAGTAGGGCTTCAGTGGGAGACAGTGCTATGTCTGCTTTGCTTCAAGTGGAAGACAGCTTTATAGATTTTATATGGTCATTTTTTTTCCTTTTAGAAAGATCTCAAGCATGTGCAAGAGCCCAAAGACCAGGATTACATATTCCTAGGCACCTGCACTCATCCTCACCGGTTATCAACACACGATCCCATCTGATTTCATCCTGATCTCATTCATTTCTTCCTGCTTTGATTTTGCAATAAGCCCCGGGTAGATCATTCCATCCATGACTCCTTCACCATGTCCCTAAGCAGTAAGGACTCTCTAATCACACGAAATCATAATACCGTGTTCGCACCAAGAGTCTAAGAAATTCTCTGAACTATGGAGTCCATGTTCAGAATTTTCCTGCTTATCTCATACGGGTTCTTTTTGTCCTTTTTCTGAGTGGGGAAAATGCTTGCAAATAATTTTTTTTTTTCTGACGACTGCATTCAGTCTTGCTGAATTTCCCATTTAAGGCATGGCTTTTGAAAAACACAAAACATACCTTTATTTGTGATTTGCTGTGTGTGGTGGGGGTAGGGACCTTCCCCTGCCTTCTCTTACCAGATATCTTTTATTGTACCTGTTTTTCATTATGAAAAATTTGAAATATATGTAAAAGCAGAGACGCCAGTCACTGGACTTGAGATAAAAGCTTCCTTGGTTTCCACCCCTCCCATCTCTCCTGTCTGTCAACGAAATAGCAGGATCTATTGCAGCATCTTGTAAACAACAGGGATTGTCCAGGAATTTGCTACATTTCCTATTTCAGGAAAATAACTTGGTTATAGTGTTGCAGAACAGACAGGTTTGGTTTTTGTGTTTTTTTTTTTTTTTTTTTTTGGTGGGGGGTGGTGGGGACAAAGTGCTTCAGAGTAAAGGGAGGAGGAGAGATGTAGAAAGGGCACCTTGGGGGTACCTGTCCCAGACGACCCTGGGCCGTACCTCTCACCTCTCCACCACTAATGCAGAGGTTTGCACAAACTGCCCAAAACACCTCCTGGGGTGGCTGGGTCAGATTTGAACAGGGATCTGCCTCCCCAGCCTGGGGACCTTTCCCCGACTGTAGATGAAGGTCAACTAGCGATTCAAACCTGACCAGCTCCCGTCGGCATGTGTGAGGTTGACTCAAATCTCTGTCCCTTTGAAATGTCTCCAGTGCGTTTCTTCCTCTTCTTTCCAAGTCCCGTGGGTCTCTGGGCTGCCTTCCTTTTGGTCTGCACTTCATTTGGTAACGAAGTCGCTTGCCCTGTGGCTCCTGACTTCTGGGCCTCGCTGCCTGCCCTTGACCTGTGTGTGCCTGGTCTTGCCCGTGGACAGGTGGCAGATCCCCAGCACGAATCCCACCCCCTTCTTGTGAGACGGCTCGTGGGCCGCGGTGCTGCTCCCTGGGCCGCCCACCTTGGGCTTGGAAGGTCTCTTCTGCTCTCTGTGGTGTTCATTAATTATTAGGGTTAGGTGGCCCCCGCCTGACCCATGCACAATAAACTTCCCCAACTTTTTATCTCAGAGTTGGTCTTCAAGGGTGGACCTGGGCCAGCCGCCCTCCTGGGAATGGTTAGAGATACAAATTCTTGGGGCTGGGGGCGCGTAGCTCAGGGAGAGGGCGTGCACGTGCTTAGCACACGCAAGGCCCTGGGGGACCCCAGGACGAACACAAACCCCAACAACCACAGCAGGAAAACTCCCCAACCAACCAGATCCCCGAAATATGAATTCTTGGGGTGCTGTCTCCCAAGCCCACAGCACGAGGTGGTGTGAGAACCAGCCGTCTAATGGGCTCAGCAGCTATGGACGGTCCTTGCCAAGACCTGTTATCTTACCAGGGGTGACACAATGGTCACACTGAGTCTCAGTTTCTGCATTTATTCACCGGCGTCCTTCCCCGCAGGAGGGACGATGATTCAGATGGGGAAGTGGGAGGGAGGATGCTCTTGGGCTCATTTGCTCCTAAGATAAATTTATTAACAATTTTCAAATGCAGGAACACGTGATTGTTAAACCCAAACAGCCTGCGATCACATATGATTGGCTAAGGTGATCCTTCAGAGTTACAGAGCGATTCACTTATTTCTCCCTTGATCAGGTCCCCGGGAGAAGTAACTTTTCTCCAAACAACTACCTTCTGGTTTTTATTACTGTTCTTTTCACCCTGGAAAGAGCAAAGTAGGTATTAGAATAAAGCCGCCTTTTTTTTTTTTGCCTTGTGAAATCTGCCTCCCCCAAAGTTGGTGCCTTGGCTCTGGGCCCTGGGTAGGGGGGATTGGGGCCCTCAAGTGGGTATTGTCTTGG